AAAGAAGAACTAACTTTTCCTTGCATGAGCAGTCGAATCGTGAGCAGAATATTCATATTTGGTGCTACACCAGGTGAACTCGACGATGAAGGATCAGCCGAATGTTCGGAAGTGTTACTGTAAATAAAGTTATAAAATCTGAGAATTTGGGGGTAATTTAGTCAGCTAAAATATCGTATATAATATTCTGGAACAGCTAGAATCTTATCGAGCGAGCACTGGTCCCGAAAGGACAGTTAAATCTTATTGCCTTCAAGATGAAAAACATTCAGATGCCACAATTTCAAATATACTGCATGAAAACCTATATTGAAGTACTCTAATCGGTTAATGTGCAACGATAACTTTTGCAGTATATTGCAGTACTCATTGTTACTGCTATTCGAGCTTGAAAAAACAATATCATCGGCTATTTTGGAATGAGCTGAATTTTATCGAGCGAGAACTGGTCCCTATGGAACTTTTACAGCTAAATTATGTTTAGTAGATTCGTCAGATTCAGCCAGAATCTCAAATATTACATCAGAAATCTATGTTTATCAGAATATATGAAAAGGCATGTGCGATGAAGACTTTTGGAGTTATCGCACTCAACTGGCTGAATTTACGATGCAAAGGATTTTTCGATGACATTTTTCAAGAATTCAAAACATATGTTTGGTGAAAATACGCGAAACTGTGTAGATACGATACAATTCAGCGCTAAGGTCAACATTTTGGACTTCGAGTAATCATAATAACTCCTGAAAATAATATATGAAAATAAAGCACCCCCCCCCTGCCCCTACCACTCGGGTTTGTTCTGTATGTCTCAATTTCTTGGCTTCACTGTGTGAGACAAGAGGTTATTGCGATGACGTTTCAAGAAAGAATGGTCAAAAGTGAAGTCCCCCCTCCCGCTGTCCGAGGCCAAACACTGATGTGAACAGTAGCAAATATGGAACACACACACTTACCCATTATATGATTTCGTCGACATCGCTCCGGTGGCGTACGCCGACGTGGGCAATCCCATACCGTAATGTACATATGACCCGTTCAAAAGAGGATCCATCTGTAAGAATCGGGTTTTTTATGCGGTTGAAAGAACCCAAGTGCATTACATCAGAGATAAGGCATTTAACGAACGATCAAAACGATATCACTTGAAGCGGAATAGTCATAAGTGACAAAGAAGGACGAAAGTGGGGAGCATTTTCTGGAAAACGCGAATTTGTGAACGAATTTCGTAGCAGAAGATGGCTCTATTCACCATGTGTGCATATAGTGCAATATTTCAGACCTCATTTTGCTAAATCAACACCCAGGGGCTTGAGCCACCCTACCGACAAAAACTAATCAATCAGCACTAAAGATGACAGGTTGCAGAATTGTCACAACTGGCAGTAAACAACAAATAGTAACAATAACAAGAATAAAAAGAAGAAAAATTGACAAAGAAAACGTAGTGCGATAGGACTTGCAATTTCAGTGAGGGTAATGTAATTTTCTGGGCTAGAAGGAAGGGAAGAGTTATGAATGTTTTCAAAAAATTTTAGATGTTAGAACATCGGAAAAAATGCGAAAATGTTTTTTTGATAATTTTTTATCTAACTTTCTATTTTTCAGCGACTATCCGAGGATGAGGAATACACACGAAAACGATGGATAAGCTAACAAAAAAGATGATAGGACTGGTCCTTCTAGTAATGCAACATTCGTACCGTAGTAAGTAAACTCATCATTTCTTTTTCATACCTACAGATTGTTTGCGGAAACATGTATACTTGCTGACAGAATCTGGATTCATTTAGTGCAATTGCACTACTACTCAAATTTTCGCATGCTTACTTTAACATCCAATGAAATTATACATATCTCAAAGCACAAAG